CCATATATGTATTACTAACTATAATTATCTATAGGTACGGTGTTCGTCTTTTATAGAAAAGATCCGGGAGCAAAGAGATCAAAGAGCGGAGCTGACACGTATAGACTAAGTGGAGCGACATGCATCCGGTATTTACTTGTTTTAGACTATGATTTGAACATCATTTTGTAACATAGGAACTTAGGGCATCTTGTTGCGGCATCCCTCCCGGATCCGGAGTCCTGGCATGGCTGGTACAAGCGGTAACCACCGAGCAGCAGCCACGCACGGGTCTTCTCTGCGTCGTTCTTCTTTCTTATGGCGACCGTGTGTGGAGATGTGGCATGTGACTACTTTGGGAGAGGAGTGGGAGGATAGGATGTGGGGGAGGCCTGCGAGCTTTAAGGCTAGAGTAGCCGGTGAAGCGATGTGAATGTGGCAGGTTCTGGATGCCCGACAGGCACTTTGGAGTGGGTCCGTGGTGTCGAAGTGCGACATGGTGAACGTTCGGACCCTCCTAAAACTTCCTCTGATTTGGGGTCGTGCGTTCGGATTTCGGACGTCCAAACCTTTCCGATCGGATTTGCTGATCTGCCTTGGAGGCTAATAGCGTCTGGATAGGTCCAGACATTTGGGCCAATTTGAGGATCCACAATGAAGATACCCCTTATGGAGGTGGTAGAGAAGAGCATCTAATTTCGCAGGTGTGGTCGTGATTCCAACACCGCCTAGCTCCTCCGTGGTTGCTCTACGGCATCTTAGTCGTTCGCTGGTTTTTTTTGCACAAAAACAAGCTCGGCAGTGGCCTTCTCGTCCACAAGAGTGCGATGGCGGCGGGGAAGATATGGGGTGATTCTGGCAGCGGCACCGCTGGCGAGTGTATGTAACTTGCCCGGAGAGGTTGGTGGGGTCGGCGTGGTGTGGACGAGCGTGTGCGGTGGCAGGCATCGGAATGGATATTGGCAGAGACCACGTCGGGGTTAAGGACGTTGAGCAATATGGAAGCACGGCATGAGAGGAATTTTTGCTAAGAACTTATTCCACCAATCAAACATGAGAGCCGGTGGAGGTTATCCTAAAATATTTGAGTTAAACCAGTTAAGTATCAAACTTGAAGCGGCTTAATCCTCAAAAGATAAACCATCAAGGGTTAGTCTAAATGAAGCAACATGTATCCAATATTAGCTTGTTTCAAACTGTAGAGCCATTTACCCAAAAAGGCTTCCGCTCCGCTTTATATATAAAGCAAAGGTCATTATCACCCGATACAAATGCACGCCACCACCACACACATCCAAGGCATGATACATAGGGGTTGAGGGCGGCAACACCACCCCTAGCACTATCACCACAAAGAGATGAATCTGCATACGACGAACCATGGGCTGCAAGGCGGCGCCTTCAGGAAGGATACGACAACGAAGCGCCGCCACCGCCCGATCCGAGGATCAGAGTTTCCCCTGAAGCCACATGACGGGCAGTGAGAGACGCGATGACGCCTTCAAGAAGGGAACGAGCTTCGTCGTCGATGCTCCGTTGAAGATAGAACATGTTTTCACCCCGGCCAACACTCACCGCCACCGGACGCCACACCCCGGCCACCACACCGCCCACACGACCATGGCGACCGGGCAGCACCAAGCCAACACCTCTGCCCATGAGCACCGCCGTACCACCACTAGGGTCGCCGCCCCGGCATCCAAGACCTTGACACCATCTCACCCGAGATCCGCCACTACCCCAACCAATGAGATGAGTGGAAAGGTCCGACCTTTCGCACCCCTGGGCGGCCCACAACGCCGAGACCCAAAAGGCTAGCCACCACTGGTTTCCATCGACTCATCTTGCGGCACCGGGCATGAGACGAGCTCAGTCATGCGGCACCGTGAGCAAGACGAGGTTGGCCCTACTGTACCGTGCGCGAGACGGGCTCGATCCTGCTGCACCGTGCACCGTGCGCGAGACGAGCTTGGTCCTGCCGCACCAGGAGAAAGACGAGCGATGGACCACAACTGGGTGGCGACCAATCCAGCGACGAGAGAAGTGACTGAACTACGCGGAGAGGATCGGAGGCCGACAAAAGCCGCCTGCGAACGAGCTGACGCCGCTAGCCACCACCGCAGCTAACCTGCCAAGCTGCCATGGAGTCACCCACGGCCGGAACACCAGTCACACCTTACCACTGCCCATCCCATGCTGCCCGGCGTGCTCCAAGCGTCGGAGCCACCGGGCACGCACCAATGTGACAAGTTGCCAAGGGGAAGGAGCGCTGTCGAAGCCCCCAAACCTGGTTGAACCGGGTCGGAGAAGGAGAGGCCCGACACCCCGCACACATTAGTGGCCATGGGCCACCATCATGCAGCCCGCGACACTGCCGACCATGCACAGGAGCCATCGCGTGCCCCACGCCACACCACCGCTCGCGGAGGCCTGACACTTAGCACCCGATCATGAACACTGCTGGACACAGCCGCCTGTCGCCTAGATCCGCCGCCCGCGGAGGAAGGGAAACCGGGAGAGGGAGCCCCCGCTCTAAAACCCCAAGAATCATGCTACATCAATCTTCCCCTAATGGTGGCCATGTCATCATGTATAATATGCTTTGCCACTTGTCCAAAAAATCAAAGTCAAATTCAAATTCAAACGCAAGTCAAATTATGAAATGTTCAAATAGTAATATAAAAATGTAGGTGGGGTTCAAAATATTCCCCAACTATTTTTCATGAATTATCCAACATATTTTGAATTATTTAAATGCCCCTGGGTATTAAAACAATGGTCCAACATCAATTTAATTGGCCTTTTTAATTTCAAAAAAAATGCTTAAACATTTTCCAAAGGCTCTGAAACTTTTTATGCGACGCCAAAATATTGTGCATGGAATATGTACTAACTTTCACATTCAACAAAAAATCGTTTGATGCGCTAACTAAATGCAAAAGAGTGATGAAAATATTACAGGAAATAAAAAGGGAAAATATGGGAGACCTACTGTGCACTTAGGCCTGCTAAGCTACAGTGCGGCGCAGCCCACTTGGAGTCTCTTCTCTCCTCTGTTCACAGGACAGAGGCGTGGAGGCCATCCGAGCTGCCATGGCCGGCCGAGCCTTGCGTGGCGGCCATCCGCGGCCTCCCCCGCCCTCAATTGCTCCTCCAGCCCTCAACTCCCCCTCGGCCAAACCCTAGCCTCCCCACTCTTCCCCCTCGCGCTGTTTCCCTCGATCCCGAGCGCACCCGCAACAACGTCGCCATGGCCATCGTCGATCCCGCGGCCACCAATCTCCTCAGCGCCTAGGAGCGTGTCCTGCTGCTTCTTCTACGACACCTACT